CCCGAACGTGCAGGAGCACTTCATCTTCTTCTCTTCCGCGGCGTTGCGCAGAATATCCAGGGCTTGATCTCAGCATCCCATGGAGTTCCCTTCCCAAATCTCCCACCTTCTGCGTCCAGCTCAGGGCTGCAGCTCTTTTGCTCGTTAATCGTGCGAGTGCCCGATTCGAGCTGCTGGTCAAGGGCCCTTGCCTCAGTAGCAAACATCCCAATTAAGCCGTGACGCATGACTTGCCATCACTTAGGCACGTTCGTAAGCCTGCTTCTGATTCTCAATCGAAGCTGGGGTGGGCCTCAGTCGGACTTCAATAAACTCTGTTCCATCCCTCGAGGTCTGGGCGTGTCTCAGCAACCCACATATTGTCTGTTTGTCTCTTTGGCGGGGGACCAAGATCCTTGCCAAGCACGAAAGCGCCACCAAGCAACCAAGTTTCACCGAGAGCGGAGCATCTGCCGTCGGCAGGGGAGGTGCCTGGTCACGGGTGCCACTAATCCCCGGTAGACCTGCGACCCAGCAGCTTCGATTACCAGCCACCCTTTTGCCTGCCACTGCGGCGGAGTCGGCAGCGCAAACTGCCTCGGACAGGCGGGCGTTTCAAGCTTATCGCAAGCTTCAGATGTCTATGCCCGCCGTGCTACGCTTGTGGCTGCTGGTAAGCAGCAGGAGCGGCTGGGCATTGCAACATGCCTGACAAAGATGCTTGTCCCTTCACGACCATGCATGGATGTCAGACCCTGCAAGCCATGTCAACCTGAGGCAGTCTCCGGTGCGTTGGCCTCTGTTGCCAGGGTCTAGGCTGAGCCCGGGCCCCGTCAAAGGCTGCGTGGCGATGCGACAGAAGTCTGACGGGCTTATCGGCAAAACGTACAGCACAGGGTACGACAAGCGAAATGTGTGAATGTGCAAACTAGCACCCAAGCAGGCGTCAGAGAAAAGACCAGTGTCGGTGCCCCACTCAATCGTCTGTCAGAAACTCAAACCCTCACCATGTCATCCTATCTCTAATCTTTCCGAGTAGCTATGCAGCCAGCATCTGCAGCCCTGCTGCCATTCGGGAGTGTGCAAGCCGAAGTCTTTTGCATTTCACCGATTGACCAAGATTTCTGTACCATCTCTTCAATTCAGGGGACTTTGGGCAGCAAATTCAAAACTCCTGGACAATCGATCCTCGAATTCGTCGAAGCTCCCTCTAGCTGAGGGGCAGCGGGTCTGCCATCAATCAAGCCCTGACCCCGGATCACCGAAATCGCCATCATGTCACGACAGGACCCTGCTGTCTTTTCACCACGAAGGCCACGCTCATGCCTGAACATCCAGGCAGGACAGCAGCAAGAGGAAGCTGACGAGCCATGCTTGGCAGGCACGTCCATCTGTCGCAGATCTTCCTCCAAAGCTCCGGCCGCCCCCTAAAGCGAACTCGGCAATGACGGGATCGTGCATGTTGACGGTTGCCCATTTCGGGGGTTGATGGCTGCCTTCCGTCCCGAAGGGGAAAATGGTGTTCATGTAGGCCTCCTTGGCCACAAAGCCTCCAGCGATGATGCGATCGAAGGGATGCAGGTATATCGGATAGCAGCAGGTCTTCTGCTGTGTGCTGCCCACGACGCCTGTTACATCTGGGTAGATATCAGCCATGATCTCGGCGGCCGACTTTGGCTGGTTCGTGTCTGCGATCAGAACCACCTACTCAAGCAAATTAAGGCAAACAAGCATTTGTCGGTTTTCTTCGGCTTCTTAAACAGATACTGAGCACGATATGGTCTTCAAGTGGAACTTTCCACAGACTGGAATGAGCACTCGCAGTCTTCCAAGGGCGTTCATCTAGGACGCGTCCAAAAGCACTGAATGCCTGGCGCCTCACGTACCCCACCCCAATTACCGCGCTGAAGAACGCAGCCAACCTCAGCGCCCCTTTACTTTGTTGGGTGAGGCGTCCAAATCAGCTCCGCCTACGCTGGCGCTAACCTCCTTTGAGAGCCCGTGCAAAGGTCCTGCTGTGGGATGGGAGAGTGGGGTAGAGTAGCGGCCTTTTTAAAAGTTGTCGGTCAGTGTGTGATTAACCATGCAATCCCAGCTGGTGGCTTCAAACCTGTCGTAAAGCTAGTCCAACATGACATCAGCGCAAACCAGCACGGCATAGAACGCAGAAGAAACCTCCCTCCGCACGTGCCTGATTTATGCCAGACGCTTCACGAAAAGAAGTCAAAGCAGCCGACAGCCCACGGATCTCTTCAAGATACTTCTTTTGGTGTGGGAAGTGCGCGACAACGACCACAACCTCGAATCGGGTGTGCGAATGAACGAATGCCTGGCCAAGGAAGGCTCGGTAATTGGTTGCGCCTTCGACCTCCCCTGCCGTGTTGACCCTTTCCATGCACCCACTGAAGGGCTGCAGAGTTGTACCATTCACCTCTTTCACCTTCCATCTCGACTTGCGGTACAGGAGCATCGCGCTGTCGAAAGGCATGGCTCCAAAGCCGTTCTCACCTCCACAAGTATGATGGAGACCTCCCCATGCTTCGTCAACGCCGTTGTTTGTGAGCTCTTCGTCTGCTAGCTGCTCAACGCCGGCAAAATCAAGTGCACCATCACCTTCACCGAGCATGCCTTTCAGCTGTTCGGTTGCATTCTGCTTGCATTGTGGGTAGGCCTTGTCGCAGTGGCCCTGAATTTTCGTGTCTTGGCAAGAAAGGAAACACTCGCTGTGTATGTTCCATTGTAGAAAGCTCAGCACATTCAAAGGAAGGTCCTTGCTGTTCAGAAAAGACCCAGATCGAGATGCCTTCGTGGCGCCATTGAAGGACGAAGGGACCAAGGGTTGAAGTTCTGGGCTACATTAACCCGAAAGAACCGCGGTGCCACTACTGCCTCCAAGCTTCTGACAGGATCTGGGCAGCACGAGCAGTGCTCCACTCAGTCAGCCAAATGAAAAGGCTTGCTGTGATGCGCGGAGGCAGCATGGAATAAAACAAGTACGTTATCGAATGCCATGGGGTTTGGCACTTGAGCATTTGTTGCACGACACTCTGCAAACTTCAGATCATAGCCTTCGAAACTCAACAGGAAGACCACTCTACACTGAGATCCAAGACCCTATCCGTCGTAAGCCTTCGCAAATATTTATCGGCCTGCACAGACAAACCTGTAACAGACCTTCATGGCGGAATTGACCGGTTTCGCGTGCGTTGCACGAGGAGTTTCGGAAAAGGCCGTGACTTGCACCTGACATCCGTGGGCAATTCAACAATGCAGCCCCCTGAAATTCCACCTGCCCCACCTGCCGTCTTCTCAGTAAGACGTGCTAGAGCGCACATGCAAATGACTTGAGCTTTTCTCCGTGACAAGAGCTATGTTGTCCTGTGGCGCGGCTCTGCCGGTCCCCATGCAAGCTGCTTCGTTATTAATCCAGATGCATGGCGCTCCTACTCAATGGCTTCCTGCGAGACAGTAATAATTGTACATCAACCTTAAACTGGAGTGCCTTCAAGCATTTGGTCTGGCATTCCTCACGTAGCGGAATGCACGAAAACCTTGCGCTGCGATTTGCCTGGCTTTGAAACAAGGATGTTGGATGAAATTGATATCGACATAGGTTAGAACAATGACGACAGAGCCTATGGAATTGGCCAGGTTGATGCAATGTTCGACACGTTGGCAACGATCAGGCTAATCTGATGGCGGCATCTAAATAAACTGTCGAATTCGGCATCTCACTTTACAGCCGTTCAAAGCCTGTGGAGGGTGGGGAGAAGCAATATGTGTGCAGCATGGCACAACACATGATAGCACCTAGGCAGAACGGCAGCAATGCGACGCCCACTGCAAACGGTTCCACTTTCCTGGCCACAGCAAGAGGACATGAGGCGATGCTTCTGATTTCCTGTGTATCCCACCTCGAAGACTTTGACTCGATACAGGCAGATGTAGCTCTCTCCCCACTCGGGCCCTGCAAAGACCGTTATTATTCTAGTATTTAAACACCGGTACTTGTAAAGGGACAAGCGACACTGGAAACCACAAGTCCAGTCCTGAGAAGACCAGGCGGAGACCCTCGACCATCGTCGATGGCAGCTCAAAGGCCTCGCACCACGGGACATCCAAACACGTCAAATTCTTGAAGCCATCGCCTGCGCGGCAGGCCCTGCAGCAGCGTACTCGAAGCTACCCAGAAACTCTGTGTACCTGGACACGGGCATTTCGGCGAGCGACGTTGTCTTTTATCCCTGCAAGCGTGGCTGGAGCACGGACCCTCCCCTACCTTCACAGCACTTCCAATGGCGACTGCTTCACCGCAACTCGATGCACCACTCTGGGCCTTCGCGGTCGTCGCTCGACCGGTGCTTGCCGGCAGCCCGAAAACGGCGAAGCGCCGCGGCGCTGAACGTGGCCGCAGCGCCGCCCAGCGAGCGGGCTGTCGCGTGGCTCAGTGGTACTCCGAGAACTTACAACATGTGAAGAAAAACTTACCTGCTCGATGACCAGCTGGCGAGCTGAAACTCCGAAGCCGTCACCCGGGGCCAACCGCAGTGCCAGGCTGCTGTTGGCTCCACGGAAAGCAAAGCCTCAACAACACTTCACCACGAAGCGACAAAACACGAAACCACACAGCACAGCCACATTTGCAAGTCTCCGGCAGTCTCTTGACTGTGCGATGCTCGCACTAGTCAGCACAACCTTGGAGAGGACTTTTGATGAGTCGACTAGTTTTCGGCACCGAATCTGCAAAGGCCATCCAAGGCCCTCGGCAGATGGGCCTTCGGAGCGGTACACATCTGCTCGGGCCTTACGGCGTTTTCCACAAGGGCCTTCGTCTCTGCCTGAGTTGGAGGCCTTGAACAAAGGGATTCCAGTCATTTCGCCCAGGCTGAGCAAGGCCTCAAAGCACACCAAAGCGCTCGGAAGAAGCCCGAGCCGCCCGAGCCCGCCGAGCCCCGGCCTGGTGCGTTGATCCGCTACTGCGAGCTCTCGGAGAAGTGAAGGAGAAGTCGATCTTCAAGGAGCTTTCTAAGAGCCAGCTCTGTCATCGCATGCACTCTGAATTTGCCTCCGCTTCGACGGGCTTCGGGGCTTCGGCACAGACTGTCTTCGCCTGCTTGCACGAGAGCTGCTCCACACCTGCTTAGCCGCTTCTCATGTGCCTGGCACCGGCGCTCCAAGATGTGTCGCAGCCGCCGCTTGAAGTCAGCTGGCCAGCCCCCACCCGTCACTGCCAGCTGCAGAACTGCCTCCCAAGACTTGAAGATCAAATCCCATGGGCCTGGGCTACTACCGAAGAAGCTTTGCTGCGAGATCAATAAGGGGCTGGTATGCCAGCACCGACAACAAGCTGCAGATGGGATGTGAGAGCCACAGAACAACGGGCACACCTTCCGGAAGTCCTCTTCGGCTTGACTGTCAGCAGCCTGCGTGAACCAAAAGCCAGCACTTCCGCCACAAAGTCGATACAATGACAGATCTACACCCGCTGAGACGCTGTCTTCATTGCCGAGCTGGATTCATGAGCCCGAGTCCACGCTGCCAGGGAACGGTGTTGCTCTGTCGTTTAGACGGTTGTTTTGGCCAGCAGGAATCTGTGACAGAATCCTTCAGGACAGAGCAAGACTGTCCGTCGGCATGGACTTGCCACCTAGAGCTCATTCTTTGTACAAAGCTACCCCGATCTGTGCCGCACAGGCACTCCGCATC